AATATTAAGATTTCTTCTAGGCTGATGACAGTAAATAACATTTCAAACCTGTGAGCAAAGCCTGAACACTTTGAGTCAAGATTTCTAATTTTAAGAGATTTTTTTACTATATTATTATTCATATAACCTTGACCAGAAATGGGATAACACCTTTAAAATCTACAATTAAATGAATATTAAGATTTCTTCTTGGCTGATGACAGTAAATAACATTTCAAACCTGTGAGCAAAGCCTGAACACTTTGAGTCAAGATTTCTAATTTTAAGAGATTTTTTTACTATATTATTATTCATATTACCTTGACCAGAAATGGGATAACACCTTTAAAATCTACAATTAATGGAATATTAAGATTTCTTCTTGGCTGATGATAGTAAATAACCTTTCAAACCTGTGAGGAGAATCTGAATGCTATGGGTCAATATTGCTAATGTTAAGAGATTGTTGACTATATTATTACTCACATCCCCTCAACCAGAAGTGGCATAAATGTTATGCTTTCAAGAATGAAAGGAATCTTGAGAGTTTTGTTTTCTGAACATTGTCAATCACATTTACAACCTTTGAGAAACATGTACTTTGACAATAAGCTTTGAATATGAAACTACATAGTTTTAAAAAAAGCTTCGTCCCCTTCACAGCTGTAATAGGCTAACTGATCATCATGGAGGGACTGACTGCACAATGTATGACATTGTGCTAGGTCTGTATCTGCCTTGATAGAAACCACAGAAAAAAGGTAAAAAGTAAAGGTATAATGACTTACCTACACATTCTCGTCTTTCAAAGAAATATTATCTTAGAAACTTCAGCCACTTGGCCTTCAACAGCAAGGACCAGACGACCATTTTGATCAAGTTGTAAAGGGAGGATAACTCTTACTGTTGCTTTGTCTTGCAAATTTTAATGTCAATGATGACAGAGCATGAGATAACAAGTTCAGTTCTCTATTAGTAATGGGTTTATTAAATATATGTTATCTGTCTTAAGTTGGTAATTTTGAAACCTTTCTAAATATTTCAATCATATTAAATAATATCATTTAGATTCCATATGGTCTCCCCAGAAATATGAGGGCATTTTGCTGGCAAAACGGTTTTGAAAGCTTCAACGTATATATGTCAATAAGCTACCAGGAATGGTTCAATGAGTTTCCCAGTTATTTTAATACTGACCAGGAAGGAGATTTTATCATACCGGTTATTACATATGTATTTTTTCCTTTAAAACAATGAGAAAAAGAATAGTGTTGTGGGTGAATCAAAGGAACATTAAAGAAATCTTTTTTTAACAAGAGAAATCTTTTTCAACAATTTCTACTCTAATATTTCTATATGTAATTAGTTTCTTTTATTTTTTAAGTTAGACTTCTAAGATGAAGCACAAACTTTCTCACATCCTGCATCTGCTATGCCTGGAAGCAGTTACATGTACCTCCACCATTAATATAAGAAAATAGTTGCTTTTATCATCATGTACACAATAATCAAATGGAGTGATTTTGAATAATTGTTACCACTAAAATCTAACATGATAATGATAGTAATATTTACAAAAAATGACTTTGGGACTTGAGAATACAAACAAAAATACACACATCAGTTGCCAGAGGGCTGTGAGGTGATGGGGCTTAGAAATCCCTTGAACAGTACAAATTTAACTGTACCCCTTTCAACTCTGACATGTTGAGTATTCATTGTTTGATGTTAAATGACACACTTAGTTATATTCAAAATAATTAATATTATTATATTGATGTACATACCCTCCCACATATATTTTGTGAACATCATGGCCTATTGTACAATGTCATGAGTATTTATTCCTAGACATTTACCTGCTGTTTTACTGTGTATGAGAAGAAATATGTCGAACTCTCATAACTCTTGCAAAATTGCATAACACAAACATCCTAGGAACTTGAATTATTACGCTTGTATCCCCACCAATGAGTGGCATAACAACTTTAAAATACATAAATTAGAGAATAATTTTATTTTCATTTGGCTTTTGCATTTTTGTAGGAAACACTGTGTTCAGAAGTGGCCAAGATAGCTATTTAACAGAAAATTTACTCTGTTATTAAACATGTCACCACCTCACAAAGGTTATGATATGATAGACAATTAAATAATACATTTGGGAGTGATATCATGGTTAGAAATTAAACATGGCAATGGGCAGTAATTACAGATAATAAGCAACACGACCATATTTACAGGAATTGCATTTTGTCATGAGCGATATTGTATTCCGCTTTAGTTCCGCATTACCACTTTTATACGCTGCTATATTTAGCTGCAAATGTCGGACATCGAGTCAGTAGCATTGCCATTGGCGCACTTTGCAGAACGGAGTAAAAATACAAAACACAAGAAGTACAGATGATTTTGCTCTTATTAAATGTTTGTCAATTAAACACATAGTTGCATGCCACAGATATAATTCTCTACGGTGTTTATCCCAGTTCTGGTCGCTACACACGTGGTTGTTTTGATCGTCGCATTTAGTGCATCTAAGCTATTTTGTGATAGACTTTAGAGCAGATACTATTTGAACAAGTGACAAAATAACTTTTATGAACATTTCATGAATATAGAAGACTATTAACGTCAATATAAGCAGAAACAGAAATATGCCCAAGAATGTTGTCTCACTAGCGAATTTGGGACGCCATGTTGGAAATAAAAATAGTGCCAAGTGTGTAATGAAGATAAACGATTTTTGCCAAATCTGACAATATTAAGAAGTTTATTGCAAATCAATATGGCTGAAGGAGGGCAAGATGTGCAAGCGCCAACAATCATACATGTTCCTGTAAATATTCCTTTCCCACAGAAATTGGAATTAAAGGGGCACTGATCTAACGCAATTCCCCGGACTGGTTGTTGCCTTTGTTATTGTTTTTTCCCCCGTGAGTACCCGGATGATACGCAACGTAACTGAGCGTGACCAGAGACTGGGCTACCGTCTGCAAGGACAGCTAAATAAACTTGGAGGCTGGAGGCAATATTTGTTTTACGCATTTTTGCATAAACACTGATTGGTTAACTGTGATCTATAAAGATTTCGACAAAGGGCGCATGTTAATTCATTTCTTCACCCTAAACAAACAGACAAAAGGACGGCGGAGCTCTTCGGATGTCGTCATTTGGAAATACCCCAGATGGTTATAGTTTAAAACTAAAAAGGTATCCATGCAGTGAAAGCATTTTCGGATTTCGGATTGCGTCGATAATACGATTACTACTCCCTTGTTGTCATCTACGTTTTCTCGTATAACCCTACACTTGTGTATTTGTCGTCATTCACTTGATGCTCAGTTAATGAATTTATTACAGGTACAATTAGTGGTAGCACCACTTAGATTACCTGACAAAGGTTCCCATTTGACATTTATTGTGTCTGGGGTAATTATTCAATCTAAATCCAGGTTTGAAGTGAGGTGAAATGTGTGTTATGTAATATGCACGTGGCAGTTCAGCAAGAGGTGAATGATCAGTTGATTTACTTCTTTTTTTAAATCAACGGATCGTTCCTAGTCATCAAAGGATTAACAGAAAATACGTTGATTGATTAATCACTGTTATCTTGCACAGTGGATATGTCAAAAGTGAGTGTTTACATGTCTAGGTTTACTAAAACGAAGGGAATACACTCATATCATGGCGTGAAGTGCCGATGTAAAAACAACCTACTTTGTTCAAAGGGTTAACTGATAATACGTTGATTGATTGAACATTGTTATCTATCACTCAATGGATTTTTTAGGAACCGTGGACGTTAGGAAAATAGTTGTCACGTGGGCTTCTCAGCCGACCCTTGAGACTTGATACCTATGTGAAACACCTGAAACAATCCAAGCGATCAGTTGAGAAACGAACACGGGTTATAATGTCCCGAAACGATATATATCTTTTAAAATATTTGATTGTTACTGAGACACGTGACATCGAATAAGTTTCTTTGTACAGCTGCAGACGAGTGGGATATTGTTCCTTTGTGTGGATATTCACGGATACATTCCTCGAACAAGGAAGCTGCTTAAAATTTATACACATAAATTTGGTAGGTTGTAATTATGATGCTTGCATTTTGTTTTCCTTCATTTGAACCGATTCGTTCTTGTTTCTCTTCGTCTTGGTTGGGAAATTCTTCAATGCGCGATAGACGTTGTTTTCACAGGTCTTTTCCTTTGTAAGCGTGTATATATTACCGTCAATTTGTAAAATGTAATTCTCTCAGGCAATTTATAAAATGTGTCCATATTGATTAAGACGATCAAAAGAGCCTACACACATCACAACAGATTATTATGTATGATTAGAAGCCAAACAACATAGAAATGTACTTTTCAACCTAACATTTTCAGTCTCTTGGTGATGACATTAAACATCCAAATGTTTGGAATTCGTTATCATAATAATACAGATGGAATTTTTTTCAGTCACTTTGTAAAATAACTGAATATTTAGACGTTTAATAAATTTGAAATTGTAACACATTTTGACAGTAAAAAAATATACATACTGTAAAAAAGGCAATGCCCAGGTGAAATATTTACTTTGTGTTGCAAGTCAAAATAGTGTAAATGAAAATCGCAAAATTACCAAGCAAGTGACTTATCAAAACTTCGTCACCATCACCGATGCAACCCACAAAGATACCTACATTTCCTTATTATCTCGAAAACTGTATTTCATTTTGTTGATCAATGTGACCATACGCCCTTATTACTACCCATAAAAGTGACTAATGCGCTTACGAATTGCGCAGCAGAGGTCGCGAACTAGTCTAGATTTCTGCTATACATCCGGGTAATCACTGGGAAAAAACAATAACAAAGGCAACAACCAGTCCCGGGGAATTGCGTTAGATCAGTGCCCCTTTAAAGGGAAACTTGGCAACTAACTTTAGAAAATTTAAAAGAGGTTGGGACAATTATGTGATTGCATCTAGACTTTCAAATGAATCTAGTCATTGTAAATGTGCAACATTAATGACATGCATTGGAACTGATGTGTTAGATGTTATTGATGGCATGAGTTTTGATAATGAAGATGATAGACAGAAAGAAGAAGTTGTGCTTGAGAAACTAAAGACTTTCTGTATTGGAGAAACAAATGAGACCTATGAGCGATACAACTTTAATACAAGGGATCAAGATAGCAGTGAAGGTATTGATGCATATGTGACTGTATTAAGGACCTTAGCAAAGACATGCAACTATGGAATGCTAGAAGACTCACTGATCCGAGATAGAATCGTCATGGGAATAAGGGACAACAATACAAGATAGAGACTTCTTCAAGACTCAAAACTTACACTGAAAAGTGCAGTTGACATTTGTCGAGCTTATGAAACAGCAGCTCTGCAATTAAAGAACATTGGTGCAGCTTCAGAAGAAGTAAAGTCCGTCAAGTCAAAGAAAAAAGGACTGGTTCAGAAGAAAACAGCTAAACCAGAAAGAAGAGAATCTGACAAAGTGAAAGAAAAAGACTTATGGGAATGTAGATACTGTGGTCGAAAACATATATTCGGTCGAGAAAGGTGCCCAGCATATGGACACACCTGTTCCAAATGCAAGAAAAAAAATCACTTTGCAGACAAATGTCCTAAAGGAAAGAAAAAGAAAGGACAAGTACAAGTGGTAGATGAATATGATACAGATGAACATGATGAAGATGCTGAATACATCATGGCAATGCACACTTCAGTTGAAGACAGTGTTAAAGAAGAGATGTATCAAAACAAACTGTTTGCTAAAATGACTTTGAAGAAAACAGAGGTGAAATTTCAACTTGATTGCGGCGCAACTGTCAATCTATTACCAGAAACTCTCTACTCTGAAATCTATGATGATCCGACATTAGACAATCTTCAGGAGGCATCAACAACTTTGATCATGTATAATGGAGCAGAAACATCACCATTGGGCAAGAGAAGAGTCATGGTCGTCAATCCAAGGAACAACAAGAAGTACAGTATTGAATTCCTCATAACAAAAGGTAATTACAAGCCTCTTCTTGGATCAAGAGTCATCCAACATATGGGATTGATCACTGTCAATAGAGACAATATCATGTCAGTTGCAGCAGAAGATCAAGTTAATGTTGTAAATAAAGAAGACTCACCTGTGACTATGAAGGATGTTACATCAAAGTATCCAGAACTGTTTGAAGGCGATGGTAAGCTTGAGGGAGAGTTGCATCTGGAGATTGATGAATCTGCTACACCAGTTCAAATTCCATGTAGAAAAGTACCTGTAGCAATGAAACCAAAACTAAAAGATGAACTAGAGAGACTAGTTAAGATGAACATAATAACTCCAGTTACAGACCCCACAGACTGGATATCGGCGATGGTAGTTGTGGTCAAGCCAAATGGGAAGATCCGTCTCTGTATTGATCCTAAACCACTAAATGAAGCCCTGAAAAGAAGTCACTATTTAATGCCGACCATAGATGATATCTTACCTGAATTAGCAAATGCGAAATACTTCACACTAGCAGATGCTAAAAATGGATTTTGGCACATCGTGTTGGACAAAGAGAGTAGCTTACTCACAACATTCGAAACGCCTTGGGGAAGATTTAGATGGCTTCGTATGCCTTTTGGTATCTCTCCTGCCCCTGAAGAGTTCCAAAGGAGGATGGATGAAGCTCTTATAGGACTCCCAGGTGTGAAAGCAATTCATGACGATGTCCTCATATATGGATGTGGCAACAGTGATGAGGAGGCAGAAGCTGACCATGATCGAAATCTCAGAGCTTTTCTGGAACGCTGCAAACAAAAAAAATATCAAGTTGAATAAAGAAAAGTTCAAGTTCAAGTTACCAGAAGTTCCCTACCTTGGACATGTGTTGACTAAATGTGGTCTGAAGATTGATCCGAACAAAGTGAAAGCGATCACGCACATGCCAGCTCCTGTTGACAAACAAGGGGTACAAAGACTGCTAGGAATGGTAAACTTCGTCCAAAAGTTCGCACCAAATATTTCAGCGATCACTGCACCACTGAGATCACTTATTATGGATAGGACAAACTTCAAATGGGATCCAAATGTTCATGGCAGAAGTTTTGAAGAGATCAAGAATGTTCTCTCTGAACCGCCAGTGTTGAAATATTTTGATGACTCAAAAGAGACTTACCTGCAATGTGATGCATCTCAAAATGGATTGGGAGCCTGCCTAATGCAAGAAGGACACCCAATAGCCTATGCGTCTCGTGCATTAACACCATCAGAAAAGAACTATGCACAAATCGAAAAGGAGATGCTTGGGATTGTGTTTGGGTTGGAGAGATTTGAGATGTATACCTATGGTAGGAAGATCTATGTAGAAACAGATCACAAACCTCTTGAGTCCATCATGCTCAAAAGTCTGCTAAGCGCACCTAAACGCTTACAGAGAATGCTTCTACGGATCCAGAAGTTTGACCTGAAAGTGAACTACAAGAAAGGATCTCAAATGTATGTAGCAGACACCTTGAGTCGTGCATACTTACCTCAATCCAAATCCAAAGAATCCAGTGACTCAAGTGACATCTTCAATGTTGATCACAGATCCTCTACTGAGCTGGAAACTGAAACAATTCAAATGAAGGATTATGTTAATGTCTCAGACAAAACCTTGTCACAGATACAGTCCGCAACTCGGTCAGATGTTAACATGCAAAATCTGAAGAAGATAATTCTGCAGGGATGGCCTGAAAACAAACTGAACTTACCTGTTGCAGTAAGAGATTATTTCACATTCCGGGAGGAATTATCAGAGCAAGACGACGTCATCTTCAAGGGTGAACGTATACTGATTCCAAATAACTTGCGACCTGAAATAATGGAAAGGATACACGCAAGTCACATTGGTATCCAAGGATGTATCAGGAGGGCTCGTGAACTAGTCTACTGGACAAACATGGTAAAAGACTTGACTGATTATATAAGTAAATGTGAGATATGCAACAGTGTACAACAAGAGCAAGGGAGAGAACCGCTCATGAGTCATGCAATTCCATCTCGCCCATGGGAGAAGATAGCATGTGACCTGTTCGAATTTGAAAATCATGATTACCTACTTACAGTCGACTACTTCTCTGACTATTTTGAAGTTGATCGTCTTCAAGGTAAAGATTCCAAAGAAGTGATAGGAAAACTGAAGTATCAACTAGCTCGTCATGGAATACCGGACCAGCTCATGTCGGACAACGGACCACCTTTCAATTCCGAATCATTTGCTGTGTTTGCTGAAAACTACAAATTTGAGCATGTCACATCATCACCAAGGCATCCTCAGTCAAATGGTAAAGTTGAAAATGCTGTAAAAACAGTAAAGAGACTCATGACAAAATCCAAGCTTGCTGAAACTGACCCATTTCTATCTCTACTAGATTGGAGAAATGTGCCTACCGAAGGTATTGGTACATCACCAGTTCAAAGGCTGTATGGTAGGAGAACTAAGACACTTCTCCCAACATCACCTAAATTGCTGAAACCAAGAAAAGGTGAAAATGAAAAAGGAAAATTGCTGAAAAGAAAAGTAAAGCAAGCAAAATACTACAATAGATCTACACATCCACTGCGCATGTTAAAGACAGGTGAAACAGTGAGAGTTCAGCCCTACAACAATAACAGTGGAAAAAAGCATCTGTAGAGAAACAAGTGGGAGAGAGATCATATGAAGTGAAAATGCAGGATGGAAGAATTCTGAGAAGAAATAGAAAGCATCTCAGACTTTCAAATGAACCGCCACCTCTTAGATATGATACAGAAGTTGTCAATAATCCATCTGTTCCAGATAATCCACCAATCACTCAATCAAGACAATCTTCAAGTAACCATGGTAACAGAAATATCAGTGAAAACACACATACAGTACCAAAGACAATTTCACCTAAATCTAAACTACCAGAGACCGAACCAAGTGAACCAGTGACAGTTCCAAAGGAAGTGAGAACTTCAAGTGGTAGACTGGTGAAAATGCCTGCAAAGTACAAGGACTAGGCGTGCTAAAGTGTTAATTCAAAATTGTGTTAAGTTAAGTCTATCAAGGACTCTAATTTGATAATCTGGTGTGAGTGACATATCTTTGTGAGGAAGGATGTGGCGTATATATAAGCGTGCATAATTGTTATGTTCGGGAACAGGGGAGGTAACTCTGTTCCTACTAGTTGTTAAGAGAAGTAAAAGCTACTCCCGATCAGCTAACGTGTTGTTTGTTATTTAAGTCTTCATACGACAAACAAACACCATAAAACACGTTACACCAACCTCTTCACAGTGCCAATAGTCTACCTGCTTTGACTGTATTTTGGCCACCATTTTTTGAGCGAAATAAAAAGTTGTTGTATCGGTCACAGACCTTGGCCAAGGAAGTTACTTGTCGATTAATGAGGTCTGAGACTATCCTTTTTTGCTTTCGCGCAACTCGTATCGGCCATGTTCGGAGCCCCAAAACACCCCCTCTCACAATTTGCTTTTGGCTTTCAACCACTTCACAGTGCCAAAGTCTACCTGCCTATACATTTTCATTCTGTTCGGACCATTTTTAGTTTTTGCCAAAAAGAGAGCTGTTTGCCGGTTTTGACTGTATTTTGGCGACCATTTTTGGAGTGAAATAAGAAGTTGTTGGATCGGTCTCAGACCTTGGCCATGGAAGTTTCTTGTCGATTAACGAGGTTTGAGAGATCACTTTTTGCTTTCGCGCAACTCTTATCAGCCATGTTCGGAGCCCCAAAACACCCCCTCTCATCAATTCTTTTATACTTCCAACCTCTTCGCAGTGCCAAACTCTACCTGGAAAATCTATTACAGAGTGAAATGGAAGGATCCAGAAAGAGGAAGCATCTGGGAGTATGGCAGCAGCATTCCAGACTCCATTCGGAGAGAATTTATCCCAAAGGAAGTATGTCATCAGGAAAATGACGAAAACGTCCACTGGAGCATCAAACCATGCATAGAATTAGATGTCAATCCATATCCGTTTATTCCAAAACACCAACGATCAAAGTTAAAACTGATTTTATGAAGAGAGTCATGGGCATTGAAATTATTCAAGGAGACTGCTGTGTCAACGTCTCAGGTAGCAACAACAAAGATAGCCATGATTACCACACACACTATTTTGAATGTGTTCCTCCCCACCTCATACAGCTACCTTGATGACAGCTGGAAGGATATCTCTGAGTGGTTCTATGGAGAAGAAGCTCAAGATTATCCTCTGTATAATCCAACTCAACTACCAATCTATAAATCCAAAAGGGTTTTTGTCACATAAAGACTGGGGAAACATCAACACATTTTACTACCGTGCTACAACCACATACCATAGACCCAATCGACCATACCAGGATCAACTCCCTACATATACTGAACCAAATTAAAAACTTCACAATCCTAAAATTTTAACATTTTGACCAGTTATCATTGTGGGCCCTTATTGTGTATTTAAACAGTATTGTCTTCAGATAACAACCGTTTTTGTGCAGGTGAATCGATCATAATCATGTGCACAGCTCTATAGTGGCAAAAGTGGTTTTTCACGTGCAACTGGTCACGTGGCCATAATACCGCACGTGTTTTCAGACATACTTGTTAGCAGTCATTAACAAAAAAAGAAAAACACAAGAAAACAAAAGTCTTTACGGCCATTTGTCATGCCACGCCTTTCAAATGTGCAACGTGAACGTGCCATCGGCATGTTGCAGACGGGAACGTCCGTAGCTGAAGTCGCAAGGACGATGGGTTGTACATAGTCGACGGACTGTTTATGATTTACAGACGCGTCTACAGCAAACGTGTACCACCGCTGATCGCCCTCGGCCAGGTCGACCACGTGTGACGTCACATGCAGAGGATCGTCAGATTGTCTTACGTCACCTGTGTGGAGGGTGTGGAGGCGCCGTCATGAACGTTACGCCCAGTGTTGTGTACAGGAAGTTTACAGATTTCGAGGCGGAAGTGTCATGGTGTGGGGTGCTTTCTGTGGCAATGCACGTTCCAGGCTTCTTGTCATCCGTGGCAACCTCAACGCTGCTGCTTACCGCGACCAGGTACTGGCACCAGAACTTCTGCCTTTTATGGCAGCACATGGACCCGGTTTGATCTTCCAACACGACAATGCCAGACCCCACACAGCAATTTTGACAAGGAATTTCCTTCAGAATGCGGGAGTCAACGTCATGGACTTGGCCGTCAAGGTCTCCCGACCTCAATCCCATCGAACACGTCAGGGATGCTCTTGGCAGAAGTCTGCGCACTCTCCAGAACCAACCACAGAATTTGCAAGATCTTGGCATCATTTTGCAGCAACAATGGCGTCGTCTTCCCATCATGTGTTCACAAGAATCACAAGGTTCATGCGGAGGCGTTGTGTGGCAGTTGTCAACGCACATGATGGCCATACACGCTACTGAACTTGTGTGCCATCAGATTCTCGTGCTTGGGACTTATGATTTAAACTGTTGATGTTATTACCGAATACCGTAGGTGCTTGGAACAAATTATGGTTACCACCTTTAATTAAAATCCTTCTTTGGACATTAATGATTAAAAATTACCTTCTCTGATACATTTGTCCGTTGTATATCTTATATGGGATTACTTTTAAAAATGTGAAGTTTTTAATTTGACTCAGTATATGTCAATAGAAGCGAAATGAACATATACTTGACCAAAATACAACATCTGAATATACGGTGCAAATCACTAAACGGATATTAGCTGTATCCTGTTATGTTTAATTGTGTCTAATCTTTTCACTCTGGGTTACCTAATTTCACCAGTTGTAAACAAATGGCATCGGCCTGATCATCTGGGTTATTTGTGTCACAACAAATTTTGAGCATTGACCTGATCAACCAATCTCAAAAGCGAAGTAAAACGAACCAAACTGAAGCGAACCGTACTGGATTGGAACGTACTGAACCGAAGTGAGACAAACCGAGTTGAAATGAACCAAGCCAAATTGAAATGAACCACACCATACTGAAACAAACCAAAAAGTAACAAAAGCCACTAACAAATAATTCTAAAAAGGATATACATATGTTCTAACACTATAGTTTTGTGTACCTAATTAGTGTTATAATCAATGCTCTTGTTATATGCACTTGCACAGATATATACTGAACCGCAAAAGAAACGTCACCCCAAGTAACACTGCATGAAAAAGTTGTCATTTAAATATCTGGGTATTTTTTTATCAAAGTTTCTAAAATTTAACATTACCTTGTCCGGAAAAATGAAATTTGATGATAAAAAAACAAAGCAGATGACAAAACCGATCGCCCAAAAGCATCACGGCAACGGCCATGGCAACCCGATGCACGTGAGTTCCGTGCAAATTGAAATGCGTTCCCCCATTTCTTGCCCTATAAAAATCCACCCAGATCGGATAACATTCATTCGTTTTTGAATTGCTACCACATGCCAAGATTGACAAGAAATCAGCGACACCAAGCCCTTGGACGATTGCAAGCTGGACAACCCGCCCGGCAAATGCCAATGCATTTCAAGTCAACGTGACGCCGTGGGGAACGTTATTCGGATGCTTGTGTTATTGAGCGAGACTCGTGGGGTGGTCCGAGCATCATGGTGTGGTGTGGAATTGGTCTTGCACAGAGGGTCGGCCCTGTGTTCTTCAGAACATCGGTCCTTGGAGAGGCAATTGTGTCACAGCAGCTCGGTACATTGTTCAAGTCTTGAGACCACACGCCATACCTCACGTCGCCGCAACCACGAGTTTCAGCATGATAACGCCCGTGCCCACACTGCGAGAGCAACAAAAGACTTCCTCCAGCAGAATGGCATCAGAACTATGCAGTGGCCTGCCCTCAGTCCCGATTTAAATCCCCTGTTGGACGAGATTCAAAGAGGGTTGAATGACGTCCGACCAAGGCCGACAACTGGAGCTGAACTGCGTCAGGTGTTCCTCAGAGTGAGGTTTTATATCCACTTTACAAAAGTTTAAATAAATTACACTTATATCCCACCAATGAGCTGCATAACATCTTCAAAATATATATACTCAACAACAAAAGTTCCTGTGATACCAATATTTTAGTGTATTTTTCAAACAAGTAAAGTTTGGTTTTCAATAGTGTAGTACATGTATGGAATCAAGTCACAAAAACGCAACTGCTACAGAAAAGCATATATTCCATGCAAAAGTTGACTTTTATGCAAGCCCCATGCATTTCACTACCCAAGAATGGGTATAAAGACATGTGCGTTAACGGGATTCCATATGCATATTTTAGCATCGTGCTGACAACAACCACTCAGAAAAACAACAAAATTACGCAATTATTCAATATTACGAAATGCCACGCCTGTCCAAAAATGAGCGTCTGCGAGCCATTGGTATGCTTGAAGCAGGATCGAGTCAACGTGATGTTGCAAGACAATTTAACGTCCACAGAAACACCATTTGGTGTTTATGGCAACGTTGGCAACAGACGAATGCAGTCAGAGACCATCCTCGGAGTGGCAGGCCACGCGTAACCAAAAATCGACAAGACAACTGGATTCGAACAACACACCTACGAAATCAATTCCAGCCAGCAACAGTGACTGCAAGAACCATCCCTGGCCTTGGACGATTATCTTCACAAACCGTACGTGGTCGCCTCAGATGTGCAGGGATTGTCGCCAGAAGACCCGCCAGACGTCCCATTTTGACAGGAAACCACCGTCAAGCACGTCTACAGTGGTGCAGACAGCGTCTATACGATGGACGGCCATGCTGTGGGGACAAGTTCTATTCACTGACGAGTCTCGTTTCAACCTCAGCCACAGGGATGGACGATTCGAGTGTACCGACGTCGAGGTGAACGTTACGTCAATCATTGTGTCATGGAAGAAGATCGGTTCGGGGGCGGCAGCGTTATGATATGGGGTGGGATTACAGCAAGACAGAGGACCCGTTTTATAGTGGCAGAGGGAAATCTCAATGGACAGCGCTACCGCGACGAGATCATCGGCCCTGTTGTTCTACCGTTTTTGCGTCGTCATGGCCAAGGCATTACCTTTCAACATAACAACCAACGCCCGGCCTCATATTGCTCGACTTGTTCAGGATTCTCTTCAACAAAACAACGTTAATGTCATCCCCTGGCCGGCTCGCTCCCCTGATCTCTCACCAATCGAGCACATGTGGGACGCCTTCGACGTCAACCACGTGTTCCACAGACACTCCAGGAACTTCGAAACAGGACTTTGTGCGACGCCTGGTCCATTCCATGAGACGAAAGATGTGTTGCTTGCATCGCAACCAGAGGTGGTCACACACGCTATTGATTTGTAAACTGACATTTTGGCATGTTCATGTGTTTGTTTTTTTTATGAAATCACGCATTTTCTGAAATCAGTATGGCAAATTAAACCATTTGAACACTTACAGGAGTCTTTTATCTGTTGCAAACCAAAATTGTTTCAGATTTGGTAAAAAACATAACTTTGCATTAAATCTTTTTCAGTGTCACAGGAAATTTTGTTGTTCAGTATACATTAGAGAATTTCCATTTGTTTTGTTTTTTACTATTTTCATTATTTATTTCATATTCATTTTCACTTATTCATTAGTGATCTGTATAAAAAGAAGAAATTGTATTCCGCTTTAGTTCCGCATTACCGCACTTTATACGCTGCTTTATTCAGCTACAAATGGCGGATATTGAGTCAGTCGCACTGCTAATGGCGCACTTTGCAGAAAAATATATAAAAAAACCCACAAAAAGTGCAGATGATTTTGCTCTTATTAAACATTTAAACACATAGTTGCATACGACAGATATAATTCTCTATGGTATTTATCCCAGGTCTGTTCGCTACAGATAGCTGAGATGCCCTTTTCGCCTGCGCACGTACAAGCTCCTTCCCAGCGCGTGACACCTTCGCTAACACTCTCGGTATAGGTAAGCTGGTTCCCGGCATCCTATGCGCATCGTCAACTTGTGATATTAGAGACGGGGCCCAGCTTACGGTATAGGGAGCTCCGCAAACGGGCATCGCTGTGAGGAGCTTGCAAAATCGGCTTGTCCATTTTGGCGTCGATCCGTTTTGATTGGTTTCCCTTTCGAAAACGAGGTTGTTGTCATGATGGCGATTTACAAAGCAAATTGACGCAGAAAAGTATTGCTAGCGAGCAATTATGAAGAAGTTTTTCAAAAACATAACAAAGAAATCCCAGTCAAAGGGTCCACCAACAGGAGGCTCCCCTAAACTTGACAAAGGAGCCAGGGCAAGTGGTTCGTCGTCGTCCTTGATTGGATATGATCTGAAGGAGAAAGATCTGGGAAAACTTCACAAGGCAGCGTGGTTGAACGATTTCGAAAAAGTCAAACAGTTAGCCAGAAAGGATCCCAGCTGTCTTGACAAAGATAATAGGTGAGGTTAATTTTAAACATTTAAAAAAATCGATAATATAATACAAAGGAATCTCCAATATTGTGATTCATTCTTTACGAGTCCAGCCGACGGATTTTGAAGCCTCAACATGATTTGACATGAACATAGGGCAAGAATGGCTTGTCTACCTTTGTTGTCCTGAACATAAGTAGGGCTATTAGAAAGAAAAAAAAAATGTTTTGAACTGCTATTTCAGGGGATGATGATGTTTACTTTTCGACGTTTATCACGATGTTTATGAATAAAAAAGACCTGTCACCAAAGTCTGACCAGAACCAACTGACGATGACCTGTGAAAGTTATAGACATTTGCTCAAAATATGTGTATGGGCAGTCCATGAAATCAAACTCTTTCTTTCGTAATTTTTTATAATAATGCGAATTTAGAATAAAATTTGCACCTTGGTAAAATCATGTACATTAAAGGGGCACTGACCTAACGCAATTCCCCGAATCTGAGTGAATCTGAGTGAACGGTCTGTTTTACTATATCTGCCAGTTTCTAAAGCTATTTTAAAATTTGAACATCTGAATTTAGTAAAAGCAATTCTTAAATGTGTAGGGAGTGGACATGACAAGTACCTTTCAACATTTAACATTGATTTAAAATGCTTATAAAGATCACATTTTGGAGAAGAGTTTACAGAAGCACTCCAGAATTGCTGTAAATTATCTTTGAGCCTTTGCTTAAATTGGAGAATAAAAGCTTTAGAGTCACCCACCTCTTGATTGAGCCATACAAAACCAAACCCAAATTGGAATAAAATATTTCTAACTTTAGTCGCCCAAGTTACCCGCCCAACATCATCTAAAGATTTAAGCATTAAATAGCATTGGGAAGGTAATCTGTAGGGTTGAAGATGTAAGAGCCTGCTCCAATATTTAATTACTTTAGTCATGTAAGTGAGTTGTAAAAGAAACCTCCCACATTCCCCTAAAACCATATTTGAGCAGGTTGATTTGTTTACTTTTAAATAATGCTTACAAGAGGCGATTTGGACAGATTCAATTTTTTTACAATAGCAAGTACCCCAAATTTCAGAGCCATTGGTTAAAATGGGGGTGACCATAGAGTCAAAAACCTTAAACAGATCTGTACAAGTGATATTACCAATTTTCCTTTGAAAAGAGTTAATGTCTAAAATTGCTTTGGTGGCTTGGGATGCTAGAGTAGTTTGTGCCTTACTCCATACAAGCTTAGGTGTAAACATTAAAGGGGCACTGATCTAACGCAATTCCCCGGACTGGTTGTTGCCTTTGTTATTGTTTTTTTCCCCGTGAGTACCCGGATGATAAGCAACGCAACTGAGCGTGACCAGAGACTGGGCTACCGTCTGCAAGGACAGCTAAATAAACTTGGAGGCTGGAGGCAATATTTGTTGTATGCATTTTTGAACACTGATTAGTTTAACCGTGATCTATAAAGATTTTGACAAAAGGCGCATGTTAATTAATTTTCTTCAGCCTAAACAAACAGACAAAAAGAACGGCGGAGCTCATCGTATGTCGTCATTTGGAAATACCCCAGATGGTTATAGTTTAATAATAAAAAAAGTATCCATGCAGTGAAAGCATTTTCGGATTTCGGATTGCGTCTATAATACGATTACTACTCACTTGTTGTCATCCACGTTTTCTGGTATAACCCTACACTTGTGTATCTGTCGTCATTCACTTGATGCTCAGTTAATGAATTTATTACAGGTACAATTAGTGGTAGCACCACTTAGATTACCTGACAAAGGTTCCCATTTGGCATTTATTGTGTCTGGGGTAATTATTCAATCTAAATCCAGGTTTGAAGTGAGGTGAAATGTGTGTTATGTAATATGCACATGGCAGCCCAGCAAGAGATAAATGATCAGTTCATTTACTTTTTTTGTAAATCAACGGATCGTTCCTAGTCATCAAAGGATTAACAGAAAATACGTTGATTGATTAATCACTGTTATCTTGCACAGTGGATATGTCAAAAGGGAGTGTTTACATGTCTAGGTTTACTAAAACAAAGGGAATACACTCATATCATGGCGTGAAGTGTCGATGTAAAAACAACCTACTTTGTTCAAAGGGTTAACTAATAATACGTTGATTGATTGCTCATTGTTATCTATCACTCAATGGATTTTTTAGGAAGCGTGGACGTTATGAAAATAGTTGTCACGTGGGCTTTCTCAGCCGACCCTTGAGACTTGACACCTATGTGAAACACCTGAAACAATCTAAGTGATCAGTTGAGAAAGGAACACGGGTTATAATATCCCAAAATGATATATATCTTTAAAAATATTTGATTGTTACAGAGACACGTGACATCGAATAAGTTTCTTTGTACAGCTGCAGACGAGTGGGATATTGTTCCTTTGTGTGGATATTCACGGGTACATTCCTCGAACAAGGAAGCTGCCCAAAATTTATACACATAAATTTGGTAGGTTGTAATTATGGTATTTGCATTTTGTTTTCCTTCATTCGCTGTAGCATTGAACCGATTCGTTCTTGTTCCTCTACGTCTTCGTTGGGAAATTCTTCAGATTGACTAAAAGTGATTAAGACGACCAAAAGGGCCTAACAACATCACAACAGATTATTATGTTGGATTAGAAGCCAAACAACATAGAAATGTACTTTTCAACGTAACATTTTCAGTCTCTTGGTGATGACATTAAACATCAAAATGTTTGGAATTCATTATCATAATAATACAGATGGAAATATTTTTCAGTCACTTTGTAAAATAACTGAATATTAAAAATATACACACTATAAAAAAAAGATACTCAGGTGAAATATTTACTTTGTGTTGCAAGTCAAAATAGTGAAAACGAAAATCGCAAAATTACCAAGCAAGTGACTTATCAAAATTTCGTCACCATTACCGATGCTACCCGCAAAGATACCTACATTTCCTTATTATCTCGAAAACTGTATTTCATTTTGTTGATCAATGTGACCATACGCTCTTATTACTACCCATAAAAGTGACTAGGGCGCTTACGAATGGCGCAGCAGAGGTCGCGAACTAGTCTAGATTTCTGCTATACATCCTGGTACTCACTGGGAAAAAACAATGACAAAGGCAACAACCAGTGCTCTAAAGCAATTCCCCGGGACTGGTTGTTGCCTTTGTTATTGTTTTTTCCCCGTGAGTACCCGGATGATACGCAACGCAACTAAGCGTGACAAGAGATTGGGCTACCGTCTGCAAGGAAAGCTAAATAAACTTGGAGACAATATTTGTTTTACTCATTTTTGAACACTGATTGTTTAACCGTGATCTATAAAGATTTCGACAAAGGGCGCATGTTAATTCATTTCTTCAGCCTAAAGACAAAAAGAATGGCGGAGCTGATCGGATGTCGTCATTTGGAAATACCCCTGATTGTTATAGTTAAATAATTAAAAAAATATCCATGCAGTGAAAGCATTTTCGGATTTCGTATTGTGTCGGCCTAAAAACATCATAATAGATTATTATGTAGGATTAGAAGCCAAACAATATAGAAATGTACTTTTCATCGTAACATTTTCAGTCTCTTGGTGATGATATTAAACATAAATATGTTTGGAATTCTTGTCATAATAGTACAGATGGACATATTTTTCAGTCAGTTTGTAAAATAACTTATTATTTCCAAAACTGTTTTTCACTTTGTTGATCAATGTGACCATACGCCCTTATACTATCAATAAAAGTGACCAATGCGCTTATGAATTGCGCAGCACAGGTTGCGAACTAGTCCAGGTTTCTGCAATATCATCCGGGTACTCAAGGGAAAAAACAATAACAAAGGCAACAACCAGTCCTGGGGAATTGCGTTAGATCAGTGCCCCTTTAAAGACATACATAACATAGCTACACGATAAGTCGCAAAGAACTATTATGGTATTATTGGGGTTCTGTTCGCGTGAACAAAACCTTCCAAATGGCGTGCTGGTTTTCTTGGGGGAATTAGTCAGAAAAGAGCCGGAGTCACAGGAGACTAATCACAATTTTATTTACAAGAACAATTAACAATGAACAATATCTTAGAAAATAGCTGAGGGTGCCACAGAGAGTCAGTACAACCCTCTGGGCTGTGGGAGAGAGATCTGCTTGGTTAGAGCGACAAACCCCTTCTGCCTAACATTTGGCTTCTGTATGTATTTAACAAAAATTAGAGGTGAGGTGAAATGGGGTTTAACGTCACGTCCAAGGTTATTGCACTTATATAGCGACGTGCATGCACGTGTATGTGTGTGTTCGTGTCTGCTTGAACTAGTTCGGACTGATGCCGATTTATAGTGCTAGCACACTGAGATACCATGCCGCAGTTTAACATGAATACCCCACTCAGACACAGTATACTGACTCCGAGCTAACCAATCCTTGTTTTAGCCCCTTAATGCTGAGCGCCAGACAGGGTAACAACAAGTACCATCTTTTAACGTCTTTTGGTATGACGTGGCTGGGGATCGAACCCCGGACCTTCTGCTCTCCGGGCGGACGCTCTACCATTAGACCACGGAGGCGATCAACAAAAATTAGAACAATAAATGGAATATGATTGGTTGATACACAATGGGCTGTGCCTTATGGTTAATGAATGGCTAGACAGAGGGGAATACTTAATCCTGTTAATCCTGTTGGACTGGCACTAATCATGCTGACATATTTACTGGGTGCTTTGAAAGAGATTATGGTGTCACTATAGACGAGCTTGTATTGGGGCTAATCCTTAATGCACTATAGACGAGCTTGTATATTGAATAGTATGTCTAGGAGATGCGCTCCCGTTACCTTAGGCTAGCATCTATCTAAAAAGGTATAACTGAAACTACTGATATTTTATATGTGCATTTTACCTGATGATAAGTATTACTTGCTAAACTGTAATTATATGAAATGATGTATAGATATTACACCATGATAACTCATAAAAGCACTTGATGTGGATCTAATTATTATAGGATAACTTAGTGTAAATGTTAAGGTTTAA